TCTAAATATTTTAATGATCAGTGAACACACTTTACAAATAGTATTTACAAATCGCAATGCGCAGGCCTTGGTAACAAGTGCACGGTCAACGCTACCTTGATGTTTTAAAAACCACCTGCTTCTTCTGGAGGCGAGCGGGGCTGTCGTGGCGACGGCGGCGGTGTCTTCGGCAAGCTTCGGTTCGCCCGAAGTCCGCCGGGAATTCGCCCTCCTTGGCGATCAACTCCTCGGGCCAACGTAACGGCCGATGAATTCGCCGGGGTCCACCCCAGCCGGCGTGAATAACGTCTCACGATTACTGGAACGCACGACGCGTGATTGATGTCCGTCGGCTTTCTAGTTCTTTCAGCAACCTTTCTTAACTTCGCGCGAATGTCCGTACAGTATTGCCCACTGTTACATTATACCAGGGCGGGAATATGACACGAGTTCACCGACCACACGATTTCTGCTTATTGGTTTTTTTATCAGTTCTGGTGCGCAATTCTACTGCCACTAATTATCTGGTTGTTAATCCTTATCAAACCTGGTTCCACACTCAACGGCCACGCTCAGTCCGAATTGCACTTAACAATGACAATAAATCTCTTGGACCCAGCACTGCCCCGTCCGTGCTTCACTCGAGCCTCTCTGCGCACTACTAACAGTTGCTCGCTCCGCCGTCCCCCCCCCCCGATTCCCCCCGTTGGTGGCGGCGCGGCGTTACTGCGCTGATCAACTCCAGTACTTTATTGTAATTATATAGTGATCAATTTAATTGTTCTAATACAGAAACGTTCTTCGTTTCTTTCTCTCTCTCTCTCTCTCTCTCTCTCTCTCTCTATATATTATATATATATATATAATATATAATATATAATATATATATATATTCTAGCTAACTCACCTACCTCTTCAACTTGCCACCTTCACAGTTGCATGAACCATAAGCAGGTCATTAAGATTTTGCTCGTGAAGCGAGCTTAAAAATCTAGGGAGCAGGATATTCAGGGTGCGAGAAAGGTTTGAACCCTTGACACAATAAAATCACACAGATTGCACACAAACGAGCGTATAATTTACCCATAAACTTTTAGTGGCATCAGTTGATGACAAAAACCAAGAATATAGAATCACACTTTTACAAAGAATGATCAAAACACAAATAGAAACCTTTACAACACACACTCATATGAATGAACACATATAATTTACTCCAAAATTGATATCCTGAAATAATTACCCTAATCTACTCTGGAAATCCCTTGGAAAATTAATTATATCTAAATTTGTGCTATTATAATTACATTGCACATGAAACCAAATATTCAATTTACAATCTCCTGCTTCAAAATATTACATGCAAAGAACAAATGTGTGCAAGTGCACCACTCTCATGTACAATTTAACTGTGTCTGAAAATAGCAGATTAATAAATGTCCTAAGTAGAATGTTTTATGCAGGCAATAGCGCATCAAAATGTCTCCTACTATAATACTTCAATTTGTTGCCACCCGTGTTTCTCAAATTCTTAACACTTTCCTATACTAGTTTTTTCCCTGCCGACGTGAACTTGACCTATTTTCCGCGCTCTAACTTCCCACTTTTGGCCTTGATGGTCGTGCGCTGTCTTCGTGTCGAGGTCTCTCGGTCCCAGCTTCTGCGTCGTAAGGAACGGGATTCGCCTCTGCCGTCTACGCTGTCTTCTTGCTCCTCTTCCGTTCTTCTTCGTAGTCGATCTGTCTTCTCGTGCACCTGGGTCCTCGCCTTCTTCCTCGTCTGCTACCGACGCCTCTGACTACGCCACGTTGCGAAATGTTCCTTGCACTTCACTGAATACTCGTGCAAGTTCCTCGCTCGTTGCTACTTCTACTTGCTAAGCCAGAACTTTTAATGTTTCTTTCACAACGGCTAACTTTACTTCCCGTGTTGTAATTGAAGAAACACTTTACTTAATCTGTGCTATCTCGCGGACGACTGACTAGAACGTCTGTTCGACGCCGAATACTCCCCTAGTAGTCGTTGCAGCGCAAACAATAATCTAAACTAATTTTAACGAAAGTGTTGACTCGGCGATCGTGGTAAAAGGGAAGCTGCTTACTCGACGATCGGGGTAAATGAGGGCTTCCGCTTGCGGTTCGCGTATTTATCGGCGCGCTGGGAAATTCTCAGTGGTGGGGCTGCTTCCCCTCTCTCAACCCTTCACAAGGAAAACATTGCTTGCTAGTTTGCTTTCGTTTAGTACGGGCAACCGATACTAGGCCGCGTGATGATATGAACCTGTTTTCTGCGCCTGCTTTGTATAGCGAGAGAGATTTTCTAACGTTCACCCTTGCCTCAATAGGATACCGAGCGCCTAATGGCTAAGATATGATAGCCGATACTCTAGGAGATTAAATTACCTGAGGAACGTGGGATCTTTATGGGTATGAGAAAAGGAAACATCCAAAACACACAAATCAAATGGTGCTCGTGTATTCAAGCACTTGCACCAAAATAATACACTTTTCATACATACAAATTGACATTAGTCCACATCATCAGACGACTTCCTCTTAAACTAAATTTCAGTCCACTGAGAAATCTCCTCTTTGAAACAATACCCTCGCATTGAATTACGCACCGCTCAGGGTTATTGCAACTAGTACTTCGCATTAATTTTCCATTTGCCACCTCAACTTACTCTAAAAAATGATGACAATTAAAACATTAATGAAAATTTTAAAGGGAAACGTTACACGGAAGACATTACATAACTGATTAAATATTTCTACTTCCCTATGGTGGTCGTTATCGCAAGTTTCTTAACTTTTCTCAAATTGCACTTATACTTATATTTCACAAATTGCTTTCTGAATCATTTTACTTCTCACGCCTTCGCCTAGCGTTTCGCGGTCGTCGACCTTTGTACTTCAGCAAACAATTCTTCAACTTCCGCAGTTCTGTAGCCTGCCTACATTAACTGGAATCACAACAGCTAACATTACTTCAGTACTTTCGTACAATTCATATAATGCAAATCTATCCCACTTGGATATTCAACACACTCGATTTATCGAAACTTCTCGTTCAAGTTCGTGATTTCAATTCTAGTCTAGCTATCGGTTCCTTCGCGACTCCAAAGCACTTTCGCAAAGTGGCTGCTCCAGCCCAACGTTCCCGTTCGAGCAAAACAATTCATACCAAAGTGTTTCGTAATAGAAAACTAGCTCCCATCAGAGCATCTCGTCAGAGAATTCACATCGCGAAGAAGGGGGCTCTGCTTGTATCACCAAGCTCCTCTGAGACAGAATCTTCAGGCGTTCCTAGCCTCGAAAGTTGGTCGCAATGTTTTGGTCAGCCTCTAATACACCGCGCTCTTACTGACAGCTCTGGCCCCACACGTTGCGAACTCCAATTTTCGTGACGTTGGCTAGATGTGGGCGACTGGGACAGATACTACCGAATGTCACTATATGACAATTTGTCCGTTAAATTGTAAAATAAATAAATACAAAACAATGTTTGAAATTACACCCAATCATAGAACTTACCAAATTAATTATTACTTGTTTTCCATAGTTGAAAATCTGAGTATCAAAATGTCTTGAAAATGCTTCAGTATGATTCTCATTTACATTTACTCGAGGCTTCGGTTTGTATCGGAGGTTTGGGAGTTGATTCCAAAATAATGGTATAGATCCTCGAGTCTAAAACCAACAGAACAAATAAGCATGTGATGAAATTTATATTTGAAAAACAAACACGCAGATTATTGATCCATTTAACACAATTACCTGAACGAAAGAGCACTTGTCTCCATTGTATTCAAAAATTTGTTCAGTTTCTACAAAGTTCGCCACATTTCCTTGTAAATCAACTCCTCTTGTAAAAAGACGTGTCCCTGCTCGAAAACAACAACGCCGGGATACAATAGTCCAAGTGAAGGCATTTCCATTTATGGAACACTGATTTATAGAAATAACTAAAATCATTAAGGAAAAAAATTAATCCTTGAAAACAAACCACAAAACAAAACTTCACAAGGCTTGCCTTGGATTGATACACAAGTTTATAGTACTTTTAAGCAGTTCTAAAACGTAATGCATCTTGTACACAGTGATATTTTCTGTAAAGGTGTTTGATACAATTGTATTGGATTCGTGTTGTCAATTTGGCGACAGAAAAACAAAAGAATGCTTATGTCTGGCATAATTGTAGCTGGACTGAATCGTTCAGGCAAAACGAAATGATATTGTGAAGTTTCAGCAGAAATTATCGAAAAAGCTAACAAAACTACGAGTCAGTTGTTTCCAGTAAAATGCCGAAAATGTATGAAATTGTTGAGTTGGAATGGAAAATAAGGTGTGATTAGCGTCAATGAAATGGTACTTTTAGCTTATTTGTATGCATTGCAGAAAGTTATTTAGATAATTTCACTGCATCAAAAAATAACATTTTGAGGACTTTACCCGATGTGTCTTCTACAACTGTTACTACCCAACGAGCGTATGTCTCTAAAAAAAGGTAATATATAACAGTGAAAGAAAGAGTGGCTGATGGAAATTATAAATTCACGAAAGCATTCCAAAATTGCAATTTTCACATCAATTCAATCGAATAATGTTTATAACGAGTTACTTTTATTTGAGTATTATACCATTTATATATTGCATTTTTCTGTTTTTTACTTTAATAAAACTAATTCATAAAAATGTGTTATTTGTTGTCTGGTAGCGGAGCGGCGTATAGTACGTTTAGTATTCTTCAAAAGGCCCACGCGGACATAAAGAACCTGAAAGTCTCGCATGAGAATTAACCATTACGTGTTTTGTTTCAAGTCCATAAACACCCAGCAATGAACTTTTTTTTTTTCTAACATCTGCTTTATTTGCAATTTGTTCTACTCGAACATTCGGCAAATACACATTGTACATACATTTATTACACTGTAAAGAACCATCCATTTCTGGTTCGTTCTAAAAAATGGTTTTAAAACTAATTGTCCAATTCAGAGAGAAAAACAAAACAAACAAGAACAATAAACAACATCACATTGAAATAACAATAACACAATAACAAACAAACATACATTAGTGCAAGCATTGTGACAAAAAATATATCTACAGTGACAAATATTTTAAAAGAAAAATATTATTTTCGAATCTGTGGTCAGATCAAGGGATGTACTCTTTTCAATCTTCTTGTCATTGTGCCGTTATCTAAGATGTTTATGGCCAGATGATTAATATGATTTTCGAGTCTATGTTGGTATTTGTGAGATTTGAGAGTGATTTCCTCTTTAACAGTGGTGGTATTGAGATCTTTATGTAGAGTGGCGTTTGATACATACACAGGGAGCATTGCTTAATAATCTGAGACATTTGGATTGAAATCTTTGAATTATTTCTATATTTGAATGTGAAGCTGTTCCCAAGAGTTCCAAATTCCATAAAGACCAGATAGGTTTGAGTATTGTTTTGTAAAAATAAAAATTTTGTTTCTAGACTTAAGCAAGATTTTCTTCCTATTAACCATATCATTTGTCTACTTTTCAGTTTCTGCTTCCTTTCTTTTAACGAAATATGTTTCTTCCAGGTTGCTTTTTGTAGAGATGTAGTCCGAGATATTTGATGGTGTCTACGTTTTTGATTGGTTTTCCGTTTATTTCTATTCTTGTATTCTTGTTTGTCTGAGGTAAATGTTATACATTTGGACTTTGTTTCGTTTATTCTTATTCTCCAGAGTTTACACCATTTGTTTATAAGTTCGAGGTGTTCTTTCATGGCTTGTTGCCGCTTCTTTGGTTTTCGTGCAAAGCTAGCAGGGCTGTTCATCTGCATATGTTGCAGTGGTGACATCTGGGGACTGAGGTAAGTCAGCGGTGTACAGCTATACAGCACTGGTCAAGAATGCTCCCTGTGCACTCCTGATAATATTGGATGAAATCGGGTTATTTCATCTCCGAGGTTTATTTGAAAAATCGATCAGAAATAAAGGATCGAATTTATATATTAGTATGGATGCGGCAGACATTTCTTGATTTTAATATAACAAGCCTTGATGCACACTTTGTGGAACGCTTGCGCAATATCTAGAAACAAAGCGGAACAATACCTTTTATTTTCTAGAACTCCGTTGATGGTGTCGACTATTCTGTGAATTTGTTCTATTGTAGAATGCCGTTTTCTAAAACCGAACTGATGGTCTGGAATTGCGTCATCTTCTTTAAGTAAAGGATATATGCCAAATATTAATAGTTTTTCGAATACCTTAGACAAGAAGGCAATAAACTTATGGTCTGTACGAGGAAACATCTTGTAGCTGTTTACCTGGTTTTTGCAATTACAATTAATTGTGCAGTTTCCACTGCGCGAAGGATAGTGTTCGATGCGTATTATTCCATTGAAAATGGATGTTACAAGGGCAATGAGTTTCTTAGGCAGGTTTTTTAAGCATTTCACTGTAATACGATCATGTCCAGGAGCCTTATGATTTGGTAGTAGTTTCAGCCTGCTGCTGACTTCATTTTGTTGAGAAGAATTTAATGGTGGCGACATTGATGGGGCATTCCAGGAATTCTAAAATTTCTTTTCTTCTGTGTAGTAGTGCGTGGGTGTGGTTGAAATGTTTTTCAAAATATTTTGCAAATTCTTCTGCCTTATCCTTTTCCGTTCTAGCCCAACTTCCATCGGTTTTTACAGAGAGGGGGGACGGTTTTGTAGGCCTTTTTTAACTTTTTAGTAATTTTCCATAAAGAGGAATCTGTAGCTTTTGAGGGTGACAACTTTTCTATTCTTTCCTTCATTTCTTCCGAGTGAAATTCTTGTAATTTTCTTGATAACACGGCGGGAAGTTCTGTTGAGTATTCGTTTGTCGTCCGGGTGATGAGTGCGTTGCCAGGTCATCTTCATCTGTCTTTTCTCTTTCATCATTTTTAGTTTTTTCTGATGGGTATTTACTTTTTTCAAACACTCATTTCTGGAGATACATATACGGCTGCCTGTTTGAAAATGTTGTATTAAGTATTCAACAGCATCGTTCGATATCTTCTGGACATTTTAGACGGACCTTGGCAGTGGTGTTATAGTTAAGCCAGTTGCTGTTTCTTCCCAGTTCGTTTTTCTGTTTGTAAGGTATATGTTTTTCTTTCTTTTTGATTTCAGAAGAAACTGATTGTCAGTATTTCTGGAGAATGATCAGATGACAGATCAAAAGATGGCTCTATTGTGTGATAGGACTGTGCCATTCCTTTTGACGAAGATATCCAAACACAGTACTTGTTACAATCCGTTGCGTAGCATGTGGGATTTCTGATGAAGTTGTTTGGAGTTTTAATGTAGAGATGGCTTCTTCTAAAGCGCGACCTCTTGTAGTGAGCAGTCTTATATCCCCATAGTTGATGTTTAGCATTGTAGTCTCCTCCTGCAATAAACCTGTGCCGAGCTTCTAAAAAACTTGATATACTGATCAGGTGTTATCTTGTTTTGAGGGAGTATATAGCTGAAATAACGAACGGACCGAACCTACGTATACTTGAATAGAGGTTGCTTGCAGATAGTCTTTAGCATTATCTTTGTACATATTATGTCTGATTCTTGTTTTAATTATTCTGCAGTGCCTCCATAGCTGTCCCATCTGGATGATTTGTGGCAATATACTTCGTAGTTAGGTATACGTAGATAGCTTCTTTCGGTAAATGTGTTTTCACTAGGAGTATGTCAATATTTTCTTGAAGTAGAAACGCTTCTAACTCTCTTCGATGGTGAAGTATTCCGTTGGCATTCCAGGAGCAAATTCGCAGTAAATTACTCATTAGTTTCTTCATTATTGCAGTCATGATATTAATTAGGCTGGAGATTTGTTCAGCTTGCTTTGCTAAGATGGACTCGAATTTTTTAAATGATTCTTGTATTATGGATATCAGATTATTTTCATACGACACATTTTGATTTATTGATTTGCGAATGTTTGGTCTTTTGCATATGTGAGCTACCTGTTCCTATGGTTTGTTACTTCTCAGTGGACTTGAATTGTTACCTTCAGTTATGTTTTGCGTAGCATTTCACAGTATTGACTTGGATACCTGCTGTTACGAATTTTTTGATAGACTTCACGCCTTTTTAATTTGCTGGATGGTCACGGCTACAAAGAGACATGTAGCTGGTGTGTCTCTCGTTTAGTACAGGTTCACTATCGTGATTCTTCACATTTGACACAGCTATACGAAGCGACAATAACGAAAACTGTGCTCGTAGGACTGACATCGCTTGCATTGTACTATTTCTCGTTTTTTACGCGGTGTTTCAAAACGTTATTTTGCATGTAGTAAGTATTCGACGTCACATATTTTTTTGTTGTTACTTTGAGTTCTAAGTCCACAAAAAACATTGATAGAGGTGCTTTTGTTAACGATGCTTGATTATATGATTTGTCTTACTTTGGCCTTGTGCTTCTATAGCTTCTTATAGTTCATTTGTCTGCTGTTGCGGTGCATATTTTTTAACACAACCCGAAAGGCTCTTTCTTGTTTTAACTGAAATGTATAATGAGCAATATTTCAGATTTAGATGTTTAAACAGCTTTCGATAAACATCCGGTGTCTGAGTACGATTTGACATTGTTCATTGTAATTTTGGCTTCATCTTGATAGGTTTTCATTAGTTTATATGAGAAGTCTTCATCTTTAATGACTTCTTTAATCGATCTGATCATATCATATAGCTCTAACGCCTGGTATGAAAATAGGCGGCGTTCGATATTTGTCTTGTTCTTGTTACTGCCCTTGGTTGTCGTATTATTGATATTATCAGATTTCTTGGTTGCTTCTAAATTTTCATCACAGAGAGTTGTTCAGACCTGTTTTTTGATGATATATGGCGTCATGTTCGCTGTTAGTCTTCTTAGAGGGTCCTGCAGAGTCGTCATCATTGCGTCTTTTTTGACGACGTAGCGGGATTGTTTGCCATGAGCTGCTCAGGTTGGAAGCCATTTCCTGCGTTGAAGATGCTTGGCCGTTAGTTGCTGTAGCTTCTAACACGGTAGCTGGGATTTCTTTTTCACGCAGATATTGCTGTATTTGAAATTGTAAATGTTGGTTCTGTTGCACTAATTGTTGTAAGTGTTGTTTTAATTGTTGATTTTCTTGCAGTAACAACTTGATGCTGTTGCTGAAGGTTCTGTGTTAGGTCGTTGTATTCTAAAGTCGCATCCGTTCGTACTATTGTTAACGAATGCTTTCACTGTTTTCTTGTTATTTAGAATTTCTGTTGACTGTGTGATTAGTCCCCCGAAGGGACGTAGTCAGTTAACATTATTCACTTCACTATATATGGGCGGTAATGTATTTGCAGTAGTTCTAATACACCCACTGTTCATAAGAGAATGAGGTTATCTTGTTCACCAAATAAAAGCGGTCACCACTGTTTCACTAGTAAATTTTGAACGATATCTTAAATTGTGGAAATGTATGCAATAACAGACAGAACAAGATGATACTCTTTCAATAATCAACGCTTCACTTAAAGTTCACGAAATTAACTATAATATGAGGAGCCGAGCGTGAACCTTCCAACACCTCAAGGCCTCCTTTAAAAAAAGTAATGAACATGAAATTATTTTCGTTGGATGATTAATTGTTTCCAATAATTGCGTGAAATATCTTGGTTTATCATCATATTAATTGTACGCGTGCGATTAAAACTTCACAATTACCAATCAGAATTCGGAAAAAGGATCAAAATCGTTTAACACTAACTCAGACATGTCCAAGATATTTCCAATCGGCCATAAAACATTAACAAAAATGATCATAGTCAACTACATTATAAACAATGAATGAATGAATTAATTAATTAATGAAAATTGGTAAAGAAAGCGTTGGTTTGAAACTACCTGATTAATGGAAGAACATAAAATTACATGAAGAGATTAAATGTTTCACAAGTCAAAAATGTAGTCTTAGAAAATTACAAATGGAAACTAGTGTTGTTAGCACGTACTTTCTCGCAATATTACACGAAAAGTACTCAAATTTTCGAAAAATTGTAAATGACCTTATTTCAACAGCTATCTTTAAGGAACGTATTTCATTCAGATCAATCTGTCTTCATAATTGTATTGATTTTAAGTATCCTTGGTATTATAGACAATCATAGAGTAAAAATAGAAATTAATAGAAGGCAGATGAGCACATGTAATAAAAAGCACATATATTTATGTTTCATTCTAAAAATGAGGTGGAACGCTTCGAGACTTCTTGTGTCGTTCAAGTGTGGATGAACTCCGATGTAAGATTCCAAAATATACATTTCGATTAGTCGAAAATTACATTTTTTAAAATTTTTATTATAGCAAACTTTGCCAGATTTCTCAAACTTCTTGGATACGATTATATCCTTTTGAATATATCCTTTTGATTATATCCTCCTTACCCTCTTAATACGAAAAGCCTGAGTTTAATAGAATACATCTAAAATAATTTCATTGACCAAACACTTTAAATTCATTTGTTTTTTCCTCAACTATACTCCAAGAGTATGTAAGAGCGAAAATTTCTTCTTGATACATAAATTCAGAATTTTATTATTAAACTTATTCCTCTGTCTGTTTTGACCTCCAATGCATATTATTATAGAAACGAATAGGAATTTGTTTAATGTTGTTATTATAGAAACGAATAGGAATTTGTCATTAATGTTAATGAAAAAAGAAATCAAGTCCTGTTGTGTACATTTCAGAAAAAAATCAAGATTTGCCTCTCTACAATTGTAAAATCCGCAAAAGAAATTTTATAAAGGAAGTTTTGTGGCATCGGAACAAGGTAAACCTCAAAACCTCGCAGTATTTTGTACTTATGGGTATTTGTTAATTTTGGTCCTTATTTCACTTTAATATTTAATCTAGTTTTAAAAAATCATTTTTCACAGTGTCTGAAGAAGCGACACAAAAAGTTGCCAAACGTTCTACCGCAGAGCTAGAATAAAACTTAAATATATGTGCTTCGTCTGCCTTTTATTAATTTCTGTTTTTCTCTATGATTGTCTACAATACCAAGGATACTTAAAATCAATAACTATTTGAACAATCTATAAACTACTCTAAGTGTTAAAATTTCATAAGAAAAAATTTGGAATTATCGCAATTTTCGAAAAATAATTTAGCAACAAAAATGAGTCCTGCACCATTCTCTTAAACGTCATTCATACTATCACACAGAATTTAATCAAAAATGAAAGGGCCGTTTATTTTAAACTTTGAAAATGTCCCAAGGGCTTCACGTAAAGTACCTCTCAAAATTAAAATATCAGTTTAAAATTCAATGTGCCAAGTTCAAGTTTGTGTTCAATGTGCACATCACCCAGTTCAATTGGGAAATATCAATTTTGAAAGGTTTACCGCTAGTTGTTTACAGACGGACAGACGTTTTGCTGTCTTTCGATTTTTATGTATCAAGAACTCACAAAACATAGATTCTGGCTACACGTGTTACAGGAGTTTTGGAATTTTGGGAACTTGATTAATCCACTTTTTTGTTACCAGGACCCTGTAACAATTGTTCTGTCGAAAATTCGCCGGTTTTTCGCGCAGCATTACATAACTTTCTCTCTACTGCGTAAGCTGTTCATAGAAAGTAAAAATATAAACGTCAGTTGTATTTACCCGTTCTCCAAAATATATCAGCAAACTGCTGAGTCGGAAGTGCCTTTTAACTTTTGCATGTTGTATTCTCCTGTCTTTAATTTTCGTGAGAAGTAATGTTTTCATGGCTTTGTCAGCTTCTTCAAATATTTCATCCGTAATATGTTCAATATCTTCCGAGTGCAAACATTTCTTTAACCTTTAAGTCACTATGATGATCATAAGACACAATACAGGGACCACTATAATAGGGATATTTCAGAAGCAATACGTCATTAAATGTATGCCTCGAATGGTAACGATGTGGATGAATTTCTCAAAATTTAAATTATTCAATGGAAACAAAAAAATACTAAACATAACTGGTGGGTAAGGCATATTGGTTACGTCATGGTTAAAGAGTTATAATCGGAATCGCGGATAATAAGAAAACTTACTCCAATTGTCGCTCTTTTTTCTTGAACATAACGCTCTTGCAATTCTTCACACACTCGTTTCGTTTATATCTAATAAGTACTTTTCATAAAACTCGTTTTATTAAATATCTACCCGTGTACAACAGGGATAATGCTACAAGTAAACAGAGAAAGGATACAGCCATGTACTATTGGTAGGCAAAATCTGTGCAGTTCTGTTTGATTTGATAATTCTCTTAATAGGAAATGATTCCACAAAAATCTTGGATCCGCACGTTCATGAATAGGCATCTGAAACAAGTTGTTGTAAACACAATATTTTCTAGCAAACATTTCTTTTAAAATTTAAAATACCACTACATTTTATTATTTATACAAAGTATATGAAGAATAAACTTTGAGAAGCATCAAATGAACATTACTCTACCTTCTCAAACTTTCTATTTAACATCAAAGAGCAAATATAAGTGGTTCATATTTAAGGCACGACACTTTAAGTAAAAAACAACAACACAACACCATTAACTGCTACATATGTGAAACTATATATTGTATTTTAATTCAAATATAATGACTTAACTTACCTGAAGGAATTCAGGCGTAGTATTATGCAATCTTTGAAGCGTGTGAGTAAGGTCATATGAATATGAGAAATATAAATATGGTGTACATAGGACTTGCTCTACCATTGAAACATAAACTTTGTTTTGAGAAATCTAAAACAATATAAGAGATTTACTTTACCTCTACAAATTTATAAATACAAAGAACTTATAAAATGAATGATTATACCTGTTTTTCCGTCAAATGCAGTAGGGTGCGGGTGTATGAAATTACTTCAGTTTCAATAATCTGCCAAATTGCTTGGCCATTGATTGAGCCTACTTTTCGTTTTTTAGTAGCCACCACAAGATATGGGCCCGCTAACAACCTCACTGTGCCAATAATGCCACACACAGGTTTACTGCTTGATGCTTGCGGAATTTGTCCATGATTAGCTAAAAATGAATATAGAAATTACAAATTAGCCCAAAAAATTATTTTCCTTCGTAATGATGATTTATACACATTTGTTAATAAGCAAAAAATCTTTCATTGTTTTTGTAGCACATTAATTTAGGTGAAAACTAATTGTGTGGAATCATCACAATTGACATGAAAAAGCAAAACATTTCACAATTTAGTACGTAATATTTAACAAATTATTCACGAAAATCAGGAAATTACAAGTGAACAATCACAGTTTAAAGATAATTTCATGTAGTTACATGCAATTAACATATTTTTTTCGGTTTAGCACAAACTACACCACACGCGAAAGGAACTGGATTTGCGCCTCACCATCGATGGGCCGCTGCTCGCCGTAGAGCGTATCACTATGGTTTACGAGACCCATTTTTATGGCCAAAATGAATAATTTATTTTAAAAAAATGCAATTCTTACCTTTTAAAGTCAATTACGTCTTATACTCAAATATTGACGATTACTTAAATTATCTAAAATTACTCCAGTACTTCAAGAGTGTACATTTTTCTCCCATTGAAATACACAGTCTCCTCGCTTTTTTAAGCGGTTTATACTTTATATTCCTTTAAAACAATAGTTTCTTCTGTTTCCTATAACGTGATACAATATTTGCTGCTTGCACAATTAAACCATACACGTTTCATGTGACTACTGAAAAGGTTCCCGCTCTCTTGTTCCAATTGTTTTTTCGCGAGGCGATGCTGATCAGATGATGAAAATTGTGACATTGGTTTTATCTTGATGATGAAGCTATCCTGAGTCAAAACTTTTTTTTCTAAAAAAATATTCTCGATGTTTTTCTTTATACTACTTTTTTTCAAATTGTTGGTATAAATGGCAAATTATGTACCAAATGTTCTATTCATTCAATGAATTTACATTATTTTTAATATTCTCAATTTCATAGTTGTTAATTAGCGTAGTCTGTGCATATCTATCACGATCTGTACGCCACAAATCGAGTAAGTCTTCATTTCTGAAACGATGAATGTCAAAAAAAGCCACTTTATTGCAGCTGGAACTTGTAGGAACATCTTAACTAATAACCTACTAACAGGATAAGCCGTGTACCAAGCTCGTAAAACCCTAATTTGTTACAAATAAAAAAATGTAAGTTATTGTCAATAGAACGCAAATTTACACCAATGGATAATGTCAATTTTTAGGTACATTGAATGTATTCAAACTTAATTTTTATGAAAATCACATTCATGTGAGGTAATAAAATGAACAATTTCATAGAAAATAGAATAAACATGGAAATAGAGCACACTTAAATCTTCACCTTGGCTTAACGGCTCGCACTTCGGCGCGGAGACCGAAGACGAAATACCAACGTTACAAGCATGCCTCGCGACAGGGGGTGGAAGGCAATAAACAACAAAGTAGGTGCAAAACAGAAAACTTAAAAGTGTTTATTATGCATTATGATGCCCAGAAAGTTCATTTATGGAAGTTGCAAAAGTACATTTTGGCCACAGAATCGAGACCCAGAAACCATAGTTCTCTGTGGCCCGGGCGCTGCGGCTGCTAGCAGCTTCCACTAACACCAGTTGAAATAAATGAAGTCTTTTGACATGTCTCGGTCTCCTGATATGAATATGATTTTTTTTTCGGCTCCATCCAGAATAGGGGGTGTCCAACTTTTAAGGCCACAAGGGCAACAACTGAAACTTTTGATATGGTTGCGGACCATATTTTCATCAATAGGGGAATTCAGACAGGACTTCCCCGTATTGTTAATTTCTGTAAAAAGCCCGGCTCCTCTGCAACGTCGCGGGGCGTCGGTGGGGAATGCACGGATCCATGCACGATATCAGTCGCACCAACATATTGCAGTGAAGCATACATAGTATAGAGAACGTTATGCAGCAGAAAATCGAATTCGAGATTTTACCGAAAGTACGTGTTGGGGTACACTAATGTAGAAAAAAGTGTTTTTTTCACAAACGCCCGTCCGTGGCTGCATTTTTCTGATACCGTGAGTAAACACGTCTCTACCTCTCTTAAGCTCGCACTACAAAATTCGACTATTACGAAACCAAATATGCCACATTCTAGGACTATTTAATTACGCAAAAATTTATTTATTTGCTCTTCAAACTTCGAGTAATTAATGGAGAGCCACAAAGCGTGCACTCCGGCCGGCGCCCCAGACCACAACCGGTTACCACAAATTCAAATATGCCACTATTTAGAACTATTTAATTAATTTTTCGTTTAGTTAACTAAATATGCTCATTAATTCCATGAAAATAGGTTGTTTATCACTCTGTTTATGGCATGCTGGCGGGCAATTAGAACGTAGTCGTGCGATTTCACGTCCACAACAGCCAATCAGAACTCAGAAAACTGATCGAAATCATTTAATTATGTATCTATAACACTGACATAGTCAAACTATTTCTAGACTGCCATGAGCCATGAAATTTGAACAAAAATTTTCATCACAAATTACTTACATCAAAACATATAATAAATGAACGATTGACACAAAATAATAAACGAATTATAACTACTTCTTAGACAATCATGTTAATAACTGTAGTACAATAAGTTAAATTAGAAACTAATACCCTACTCATATTTGGCATCAAACATCCTAACCCAGAAGTCGCTTTATATTGCACAAATATGTTTACTTCACCCATTTAAACGTGAAGCTTTAAGCAAGTCCTACTCAGCACCTACTTTCTCGCCGTTAGTAATGGTTTTGCAATGCTGTTTATACCACAATTTCTCTCCGAAATATTTATTGTGAAACTCATTTGAAAGTAGAACATTTGGTGCGAATATAAGCAAAAAGTGAGAAAGTAATATAATTAAAACTTAATAAATAATACCATACTGATTGTGTTGCAAACAAATAGATCGAAAAATATGTAATAGTAATTATTAAACCCTATCTGGCACAGTGTTGCCAGATAGTTGAAAAATGAATATCGTACTGCGCCATCTATGATTATCGTACGGCGGTAATATCAATTTATCATACATTTTATCGCACATAAATAAAAATAGTGTAAAAGTTATCGTACTTTTTAATATTTTTTTTCAAACATATTACTTACATTCTTTTCTTTAACGACATATTTCTAATGGAGCATGAATGCAGCGGGAATACAACTAATATAATATACATTCTTATAACCTTAACTTTTATTAATATGTGTGCATACATTTAATACATAACAAATCAAAAGGTTTTTTTTTATTTACTCGATCATATACAGATTCGAACTGATTATCAACGTTTATTTGATTAAAAACTCCACTAACTTTATAGCTTAAAATATAAAAATGACAACGTAACAAACATTAACACAACTTTCATTTTAAGAGGATGTCTAAGGCAAATGTGAAGTTAGATTTCTATAAATTGGCGCCAAAAGAATTTTTCTGGAGTAACAACCAAATAACGTACATTTGTGCAAAACTGATAGCACCATTCCATTTTTTGATATATTTCCGTTATTTGTGAGTATGTTTTATATTTTTCAATACAATATTTAAAGAACAATCTTGCAAAGCGCTTTTTGACAAATTTTTTAGGTCTCAAAACGCCTTGTAAGTTTTCTCTTTAAATATTGCATAGAAAAATACAAAATAATACTTACACAGCAGAAATTTATCTAAGAATCGGTTAGTGGTATTTACATTTTATTTAAATTATCGCATAAATTGATATTTACCGATATGTTCGATAAAGTGCAAATGTCGGTAAAGAAGAGATCGTGAGGTATTCGACATCCTCTTAAAAATCTTCATCACTCAGTTCATCTTCTAGTATTTCAGTTTTGTTTTTAGGATATATATTATCCGCTGTCATTCGGCTAAGCATTGATTTTGTAATTTCAAAATTCTTACAGCACTCTTTCGGTTGCATGCCATTGATGTCACTGCTCAACAAGACGCCAGAAGTCGCTGATCGGGTAAAGTACATACATTGTACAAACTATGTAATTTCAAATACATAGTTCAAACACAGAATTTTAGAAGCATGTCGCAGCGGAGGGGGGGCTGGGGAAATAACGGCGGATTCACAATCAAATTGAAAGTGTACGCATATTGTTACCATTTGTATTCTACAGAGGCGAACTCGCACAGGCTCTCATTGCGCAGTGCCATTTTCTAAGGGTCTATTCTTGAAATTATTGCTCTCGAGCGATATGTGACTATCGCATTTCTGTTAATGTGGAAATGCACGTTCAAAAATGCGATAATCGCATAATGCACGAGAGCGATAGTCTCAAGACTCCGATCAGCTGCATCAATTGGTCACATTATCGTTCTTTTATCTGTACGATAATGGTGCATCGTACATCATAATGAATAATCGTACATGTACGATAATTATGTACGTCTGACAACTGGCCTGGCGGCTTATCTCAGTGGTGAGCGTCCTTTCTTTCCATGACGCGTCCCCGGGTTCGATACTGTAACACCTCCCGGCGAAGAGAAACGCGCGGTTAGCGGCCCGGTTATAGCTCAGTCGGTCCTATTCCCTTTACTCGTGTAAAGACTAGCCAATTGTAACAATTTCCTTAACTTAATATTCAGTGATGGAAGGCATTGTAAGCTAAAGCATGCATGGGCATTCGAAATAAACAATTTGATTACTGGTAAAAGACAACGTTTATTCCTGGACAGAGCTGTACCAAGGAAGTTACATTAAAAAATAAAAGAAAGAAAAGATTGAATAAAAAGAAAAAATAAAGATTCAAATTAAAAGGAAAGCTTACAACTAGAGAAGAGTTCAAAATTATTTTATAGTTAGATTTCCAGAGTTGTCCCTGAGGACCTTTCTTGTGCCTTGGCGCGGCACCGCTTTAACAATACTTCAAAAGGTTTATTGCCCCCAGTTACAATGCCTGAGAGCCCTTCGTGGCAGATGTGCTCGAGGGGGCCTGGGGAGAGCACGGCGGATCTTGTAGGCGACCTTCGCTGGAATGCAATCGGTCGCGCCCCCTC